TTTATTTTGTTTTTATTTTTTTTTTTTTTTTTTTTTTTTTTTTTTTTTTTTGGTGGGGGTTGGTACTGGGGATCCAACTCGGGTCCCTGTGCTTGCAAGGCAGGCAATAGATACTGGGCCCTTAATTTCCTTTTAAGTGATGCTGGATTGTTATGCAGTCCTCATAGTCATCAGTGATCCAGCTTTGTCCCGTTAGGATAAGGCTTACTCTGCATTTTTAATGAGTAATCTGGCAGTGCTGATGCTGTTAGTAGGAGAATCTCATATTGAGAACCACTGTTACAGAGTAAAAGCACAACTGAATGAATCAAGGTAACACCTCAGTTCTCTGAAGAGCAGGGTGAAGGTCAGAATCAGATTTCTGATTGTCCCTCCACTCTTTGTCCTTCAGAATGAATATAAAAATGAAACCATAGAAGATTGGGGCAATTGGAGTCTGCCCCTGGCCTTAATCATCCTCAGAATTTTTAATTCTCAGGCCCTTTGGCTCTTCTCTTTACAGTGCAGTGGTGAAAGAAACAAAGGTGTAGGGGGTGTATGCACACATCCACACCCTCGTCAGTTAATTTTGGCTAGTATTGTCCACATTTATTCCTTAGAAACAAATAAGTACTTAATACTATTATTTTTACTGTCAAGTTACTTTAAAAAATACTTAGCCACATTTTTAACTTTACTATTTATCTTTTTAGTAATAAGTTTTACTTCATACTTAATGGCTAGGACTTAAAATGAAAATGAGCACCAGAAATCAGACCTCCAGTTTTATTATTTATGGTATGTATATATTTTGTGGTATTTGGGATCAAACCCAGGACTTTCACACTGAGCTGCATCCTCACCCCTTTCTTTATTCATGACAGGGTCATGTCACTAAGTTTCCCAGGCTGGGCTGAAACTTGTGATCCTGTACCTCAGCCTGTTGCCTGGGCTAGACTCAAACTGTGATTCTCCTGCCTCAGCCTTCCAGAGTGTTGGAATTACAGTCCTGGGTCACCATGCCCAGGTAGACCTCTAATTTAAATGAAGGCATTGGAGTGACAAAAAGTTCCAGATTCAGAAGCATTGATTGCAGGAAAATATTCCATTTAGTTTTGTATTTTCAGTTTAATTTTTATGTTTGAGTAGTGATTCTATATTCTTTCCTTATATATTATATAGAATGTCTTTTCTGCCTCACAATTATAATCATTTCTGTTTGTATTTCAGCTAATGAGTAAAGAGTCTCCTGTCTCTTCAGGAAATGATGCGTATGTTGACTTGGATCGTCAGGTATGTATGTATGTATGTATATGTATGTATGTATGTATGTATTTATTTTGATATCAGGGACCAAACTCAGGTCCTTGTGCTTGCAAGGCAGGCTGCAGAACCACTGAGCTAAATCGCCAGCCCATTTGCATTGTTTTTAAATGCTCGGGGAAATGACTTTTTTTTTTTTTTTTTTAAGGAATCCTGCAATGTATTTTCATGATTTTAATAGCAAAATTATTTTGTAGTTTTTAATATCACTTGTTGATAAAATGCTGCTATACTTTTTTGTGTGTTCAAGTTCTGTGATCTTTTCTAATGCATGAACAGAAATCTTTGTATTCTTTGTCTTTTGTCATTTCTGCTTGTAGCTCGTAAATGTTTTTCATGAAATCTGTGCATGTAATTTTAACCTAAAGTTGAAATTGGTCTTTCTCCCACTTTGTGGTATTTGGTTTTAAAAGCATAATAAGTGTTACTATGAATGTGTTTCTCTTTTTTTTTTTCCCCCATCTTTACTGCCCAGAGGTTTAGTAGCAAGAAAAGGCAATTTTATTTTAATCACTTTTGCTCACTTAAAAGTTCATAATAATGGACACAGTTTGGAAATGCTTAATTTACATTGAGGATCAGAATAGTAGAAGTCTTTTTATTTGAAAATGGAGCTATACAAATAGATTTAAACATCTGATATGACTAAAAATATTGTGTTGAAATGTTCTAGCTATTAATTTTAGCAGTTGAAACCCCTATTCTTCTATCACATCTTTTATCAAAGTAAATTTCTCTTTTATTAAAAGAATCATCAAGGGCCAGGGATTTAGCTCAGTGGCACTGCACCTGCCTCACAAGTGCAAGGTCTTGAGTTCAATCCCCAGTACCAAAAAAAAAAACAATCAGCAAGTCAAGTGTTGTGGCACACACCTGTAATCCCAGCGCTGAGAAGGCTGAGTCAGGAGGCCCGCCACAAGTTCAAGGCCTGCCTGGGCTACATAGTGAGTTTAAGGCCAGCCTGAAGTACATAGACCCCTATCTCAAAAAACCAAAACAAGGGCCAGTGATTTAGCTGAGTGGCGCTGTGCCTGCCTCGCAAACACAAGGTTCTGAGTTTGATTTCCAGTACAAAAAACAAAACATAATAAAAGAATCAGCATTACCAAGAACCAAGTAGTCTGTATAGATAATGATATGTGAGAAAACTTAATATGAGAAAAGAACAAAATGCAAAGGACATATATGGTAAGACTGAAGGCTAAAAAAAATTCAGAGCCTTTAATGGTGGTGGTACAAGCCTATAATCCCAGCACTTGGGAAGATGAAGCAGGAGCCTCACTTTGAGACTGGCCTGGGTTACATAGTGAGTTCAAGGCCAGCCTAGCCTACATAGTGAGGCCCTGTCTTAAAAAAGTCAAAAAATAAAAGGAAAGAAATTCAAAGTTAGAAGTGCTTTCTTGTCAGTCTTAAAGAAAAGATCTTGATATTTTTCCCTTTATCACCCGCCAAAAAATACAAGAGGAGAGATATTTTAATTCTTTGTTGGAGCAACATGTTTAGTTATTAAGTGTCTCCATTTCACCAGTTGAAGAAAACTACAGAGGAACTAAATGAAGCTTTATCAGCAAAGGAAGAAATTGCTCAAAGATGCCATGAATTGGATATGCAGGTAAGTGGTCTGCCAAGTACTACCAAATGTACTGTGTTCTAAGGAAAAAAGAAAAGTTTCTGGTTAAACAAAATACTTAATTTCTGTTCTTTTCAGCAACCTATTAAATTTATAATGAGTTAACTAAAATAGCACAAACCTACAAAGGAAAAAGAAACAGATCAGCACACATCTTCACAGTGTGCTAGTAAACTGACTTGTGGGAAGAGCAGGGAAGATTTTTAAAACACCAGATTTGTGGAGTTTACCAGCATCTATAGTAGAAATACTCTTTCAGTGGCTAATTGAAGTTACTGGGGTTTAATAGCCAACTTACACAACTTTGAATATTTAACAGTTTAGGTATAGGTAGCTCTAGCACACAGTCTTCATCAATCTCTCAAAAGTGAAAAGGCAGTGGGAAAGTGCTGTAAGACTAAAAAGAGCAAAGATTACAGTGTCCAGGAACAATCCCATAGTGACCCTGGGGGAAAGTTGTAGCAGAACCCCAGAAACCTCTGCAGAAGGCTAGAGTGAGGCCATGACTAGAGCAGTTCATGGTCAGGCTCTGTGTGACCCTGGACATCTGGAAATGTGATCCCTTAGGGTCTTATTCTTTTCACAATTACTATGCGATTTTGGTCAATATTTTTCATGGCTTAGTTGGTGCTCGAGCATGATTTGCATACTGTAAGTGAGGGCACAGTCTGCCTCCTGCACTTGCCATCCATTCAGTGCAGTTAAAACCTGTCTGTACCTATCATTTCGTGTGTTTATGTGACTTGACAGGTACAATGCAGCAATACTGATAATAATAGTTTCACCTGCCTACAACTGTGTTCATGTGAAAACAAGCAGTTATTATTTTTAAGCAGACATGTTTTCTTATTTAATACTAAATTTAGGCTTGTGTTGTTTCATAAAGTCAACTAAGAAGTTAAAATAGCTTTGTTACTTATATATGCTATGTAATCTATTTTATTAATTTAGAGAAACCAAGCCAAAATTGTGGATACCTGTTACCTGGAGTTGCATAGTTGTTGTGTTGTTAGTTGTGTCTTGCAGTGCATGTAGACCTATAGCCAGGTTCCAAGTCACACAGTTCTTCTCTAAAGAGAGGTTAGAGTGACTGTTCGCATTATGGGGTAAGGTGGTTTTAGTTTGTCCTTTCTGGGTCCCTAATCTAGATAAAGGCTAGCTTCTTGTTGATAGACCCTTAAGCAGAGAGCTTCCAGTTGCTTTTTGCTATTACCAATTTTTAAATATAATGAAAAACTACATTAAAAAATAAAAAGAAGATAAAAATAATCCTAGAGGAAGTAGAGAAATTTTGGGGAGTTAAGTTATTCTTTTCAATCTAATAGTCTTAAGACACTACATCTATAAAATAAGGATAAGGTGTTATTTTTCTAATGCTGTTGTTTTAATTTTAAAAAAGAAAAATAAGATCAAGAAACACTACATTTGATTGAAGGTGACATTGTAACAAATGCTACTTGAAAGTGAGGAGATCTTATAAAACAAAAACTAAGAAATAAGATTATGCATGTGGGATTTACTTCATAACAAGGGGGACGTGGAAGGAGTGGAGGGATGTACCCATGATAAATGATTATCCATGCTCTGGTACTTGTTGATAAATACAAATTGGCCTGTGCAGGCACAGCTCATATTCTGTATTAGGTGGATTTTACTCTGAAAGGTACAGGACTTGGTCATTGAAAGGGATGCATGAAAAGGGGGTATAATCATACCGCACTTACTGAGTTACATAGTAAGTAATTGTTGTTACATAGTTGAGGTGTAAATACATTATTTACTTTTCAGATTTTAGAATTTATAGAAATGCTAAGAATTATGAGGTCATTATTTTTACAAGTATTATCTTTGATAATATAAAATTATACACTAATACGGGCAAGCTACAGGTTGCCATCTGATTATATGAAGTTTTGTAGTATTTGCCACAGATACTTCTCAAAGCCTAAATTTGCAGTTCTGTGTTTCATATCAGAAAAGTTTGCCAGTCTCTGGTTTGGATAGGTTGCAAGATCAGTACTAGTGTTGCAGGGAGTTTATGCAAAGAGAAGACATAGCCCCATAATATCCTTTTATATGGAGGGAGTAGTAGTAACAAGGCTAGAAAAAAGGCGTCTGTGTTGTTGCAACGTATACTGTATTGATTTCCAGTGTTTAGACTTGTGCTATAGAGGAACATTATTGTACATATTCCTTGGACAGAGGACATATGTCTAAAATACAAAAACTAAAAAATATTAGATACCTCCCACAAATTTAAGATCCAATGAAGAATTTAGCAATTAAATGAATAAACACTTCTCATAAGTATAAATAGTCAATAAATACATGGAAAAATCTTCAACATCTCTGGCCATTAGAGAAGTGCAAATTGAAACAACACTGAGATTCCATCTCCAGAAAGAATGTCTGCCATGAGGAAATCAAATAATAACATACTGGTGAGTTTATGGAAATAAAGGATCCCTTCTATATTGTTGGTTGGAGTGTAAAACAGTATAATCTCAAAAAATTAAAACAAGAAATGACATTCAACCCACCTGTTCCCCTCCTTGGTATTTTCTTGAAAGAGTTAAAGATATATTGCAGTGATCCATACCCATGTTTATAGCATCTTAACTCATTGGATAAGGCCTATATGACCATGAACAAATGAATGGATAAAGGAAATGTGGTATTTATACATAGCAGCGTACTATTCTGCCATAAAGAAGGGTAAACTTCATTGAGTCATTTGTAGGAAAATGGATGTACCTTGAAACCACAATGTTAAGTGAAATAAATCAAACGTAAGCATAAATACATGATTTCTCTAATATGACACACCCAAAATATAAATTAAGTGGAAAATAAAAGACATTAGGAAACAAGGAAATAAATCTTTTGCTAAAGGAAGGAGGAGACCAAGAGATGAGGGGAGTGAAAATAAAAATGGCATTAGGTACATGTGCCAACTCCCCACAGTGAATGTAATCATTGTGTACTACAAACATGTATTAATAAAAATTTTTAAACTTGTACAGGTAAAGACGGGTTGAGAAATAGAAAGGGATAGGACAGGTGAGGTAAGAGGAGAGCTTTTGACATCTTCTCACCAAAGAAGGGTCAAAAATAATGCTCTAGTGCAGCAGTTACTGCGTGGCTGGCTCCTCCTTGTGATCCACTCTCAGCTCAAAGTCAGCTGATTCTTACATGTCTTAGGTATCACAGTAGATCTGTGGAAGTCCACAGGAGGACTTCCATGATCAGCCAGTCTCTTATTTAACCCTCTGCGTAGCACTTTTTCTTCTAGTTTTTGCATGTATTAATTCACTTTCTGGTTTTTAAGTTTTATACATGTATGTTTGTTTATTGTGATCATTTTGAATATGTAACACATAGGAGTAAGGATTCAGTGCTTTGTTCATCTGCCCATCCCTGTACCTAGCAAAGGGCTGCAGTGCTCCACCTGTGGCAGGCACACAGTTCATATCTGAGTTAGTGAGTGAAACCATGAATGGATAGGTGGGTGGATAGTGAGTGATTATGTGAAGTAAACCAATAGGTGATTGAAGTGTGAATCATGATAGAACTGTATTTGTGGTAGTGAGGAATGGCTCAACTTCCTTGCTAGAATCTGTCGTGTCAGAAGACAGTAACTAGATAATGTCTTTAGTTGATGAATCTAGAAACAACAGTATATAACATTTAGAGATACAAAGTAATAACTGATAATTAATCTTTATTGTCAACATGGTGGGCTTCAGAGACTAGGGAAGCTCATTTCTGGGAGTCTGGCTGGGACATGGGGGCATGGTCATGTCTGGGCCCTGGCCCCTTCTTCTCTGTTGGTCTTTCCCTGTGCTCTGCTTCCTGGTCACCATGAAGTGAGCAGCATTGCTCTTCCAGTATGTTTCTGCCTGGAGCCAGATGACCATGAACTGAAACTGTGAGCCCAATGTTGTTTCAGGTGTTGGGTATTTTGTCCTAGAAATGTGAAAACTAACCAGTAAAAAAACCAAAAGCAGTCACATTAGGAGTTGAAAGTAATCTCTGAAAAGTGAGAAAACTCAGTAGAAAATTGTTGCTTTTCATTATAAGCGCCTTAACCTTGTTGGATTTTTTTTCCATAAATTAATCATATTTATATGTTTTAAAAATTAGTATCCTTTTTGTATGTAAGTAAAATGATTTCCACCATACATATTAAATTACTTCAGCAGTATGAGCTAGTCTTGACTTTTTTTTTCTTTGCAGTGCTAGAATTGAAACTAGAGTCTCATACATGCTAGGCAAGTATGTTATTAGTAAGGTACACTCAAGCCTCATAGCTAGTGTGATAATTCTTGTATTAAAGTTTTACATTAAACACTTAGCCATTATTAAATTTACCACATGTGAGGCTATTAATGAATTCTTAATTAAATTTGAAGGATCTATGTTGTATAGATCATAATTTTGACCAGTGTACTGTTGACTTTAGAAATTATTAGCAAAGAGATGAGTATTGAGAACCTGGAATATCTCAGTGGTAGACCAAATGCAATTTTGGAAACACAACAGGTATAGAGTTGACATTTCAGATTTATTCAGCAATACACAGTGAGTTGGCTACACTGTGTCATGCACTGTTCTAGTCTCTAGATAGTTAGGAAAGGAAGAAATAGACAAAAGTGGATAAAACATCCCTGACCCCAAAGTGCTTCCATTCAACTAAAGAAGACATGATAAATATGATAGTATGTTATGTGTCTATAAGCTTTATAAATAAAAAACACAACCAGGGAGGCTGAAGCAAGAGGATCGCAAGTTTAAGATCAACCTAGGCAAATTAGTGATTGAGATCCTGTCTCAGAATAAAAAATAAAAAAGGGCTGGGTATGTAGCTCAATACAAAGGTGCTGGCTTCAATCTCCAGTATCACAAAAAAGTAAAAGGGAGAAGGAAGAATGAAATAAGGAATAGAGAGTCAGGACAAATCCCAGTAACTGCAGTTAGTAAAG